AATGCTGGCAGGGCTGCAGTCCCAGCTGGGCAGCTGCACTAGGAAGAGGGAAAGGGAGTGAGAGCAAGGAGGGCTGGGCAGCAGCATGGGACCCTACCTGAACCAGTTGGTGAGGGTCATCATGACGTAGAGTGAGGCGAGGAAGAAGACGAAGTGGAAGGCTGAGTAGCTGTAGACCACCCGGTCTCGTTCATCCTGAACGATGCACCGTCCCCCGGCGGTCTCCTCTGCTTGCTCACACGTCTGCTCGGTGCCTGGGAGAGCACAGGGGCACAGCAGCTCCTGCACCCCCTCCTCGCTGGCACCCCCGGGCTGGGACACAGGTTCCCAAGGCTGTGTGTTACTGCACCCACCTCTGAGCTCCTCCTCCATCTTCTCGGGGCAGCAGAAGCAACAGGAGGGTTTCTGCGGAGAGAGCAGCGCACTGGTAACTGCTGCTGGGGCAGGGCAGCCCAGCCCCACGGCCATTGCTGCTGGGCTGAGCCCTGCTGCAGGATCCGGCCCTGCCTGGCACGGGGGGCTGCCTGGCTCTGAGGAGCTGGCGCAGGCAGGGGTGCGCCATGGGAAGCCCTCTGTGCTTGGCTGGACCAACCTGCCTTTGCCCCAGGCACAGGGCTGGGATGAGGACTCAGGAGGGCTTGGGGCAGCGGGTCTGGGGTGCTTGTGGGAGGAGGACACAGGGCGCAGCTGTTGGGGACAGCATCTGTACTCACTTTAAACTCGAAGCTGTAGACTTTGACCATCCAGAGGGGCCCGAAGACCTCGGCAAGGTAGGAAGCTTCATTACTGTTCCCAGGAGAGAGGCAGAAAGCATAACACAGGCAACCCACCACCCTGTGCCAGGCCCCCAGCCCGCCTCTTGGGTCTGACATTTCTGCCGTGCTGTGCCTGGGGTGACTGCGCTGCCCCTGCCCATCCGCAGATGCCTGCTCTGGCCCTGCCATCCCTCGGGACCCACTGGCCGTGCCACAGGCTGGGTTCGTGGTCCCCGTGTGGTGCCTGTTGGACTGGCCGTGCCCCGAATGGCACAGTGCTGCGGGCACCCTGCCCGCCCCGCGCCGCAGGCACACGCACCATGCGAAGAGCACGCAGGCGTACATGATGGCAGCCCCCAGGACGGCAACAGTGGTGTCCTCAGTCTGCAGCTCGTCCTGCCGGACACCCGGGAAGCAGACGGTGAGGTTCTGCCCCTTGTAGAGCACTGCGGGGAGGCGGAGGTGAGACAGGCATGCACCCTGGCAGGCGGGTT